ATTAAAAAATTTAAATATTAAAAAAATTAGTAAAAATCTTCGCAGGCAAATTTGCCTGTGTTACAATTTAAAGGATAGTTGTCTTCTTTGCAGCCTTTTTCTTCTTTTCTCTATTTTTTTATTTTCATTTAGTTTAAACTCCTTCTTTTTAGTATTTTCTTTTGTTTCTTAAATTTTTAATTATTCTTTGATAGAATTCTTCTATATAAAAAACTAGAAAAAGGAAATTAGGAAAAAAAATGATTATGATAAACTGGTAAACTATATTAGTGATCTGGGGTAGGTTTTTCTAAGATAGAACAAACCAAACTAGTAAGACTAAAAAAATCTTTGGCAAATCACACATAGGTATTAAATATTTAAATACTTTATAGTAACTAGATAAGCTATGTTTTAATAATAAGTAGTTAATTCTATAATATAAAAAATTTGTTTTTCAGGATATGATTTAATTATCAATAAAGCATTAGAATCGTGACATAATTATCAAAAATTAAAAAACAATAAATATACAAATATTAAAAAATTTTTTTAAAACTAATAATAGCTTGCTATAGCATATACATATAATAGCAAAATAATATTTTTTTTTTTTTAGTTATAAATAAAGAAATCAAAAATATATATCGTAAGCAGAAATAGAATTTAAGTTGATTTGAAATTTTTAAGATCAGGGTTGGGATTTTTAGTATAATTATTCCGGTTTAATTTAAATAGATTCCGAACCTATTACTGTATTATGATTCTATTCCCACTTACAACATATATAACAATATTTTCATTATACTATATATATATATAAATTGACTATTATAAATAATATAAAGCTGTGATGTTTTATCTAGAAAACGAAAGTTCTGATATACAAATTACACAAACATGTAATGAAAATTCAAAGTTGCATTATTGATATTTATATTAATAATGCATCAAAAAAACCCGATTTCGGGTGAGTGAATGGAGTGAACGAATAAACAAATATTAAAAATTACAGTTTAAAGTTCTTCATTTCTCTCTGGACTAGTCATCAAATGGTTAGTTTTTTTTTTTTTTCTTTTGTATCTTTGTTATAATAATTCTGCATAGTTCTGCGTAATACCGGCCCGTTTCCGGAAAATTTTGGCTATGGGTTGAAGTTGTTAATACAAAAAAAGAGTTGCATAATTATGTAACATTCTAAAGAATCGGATAAATATTACGAATTAGCAATAGTTTAAATTAAACCTGAATAAAGTTATAACGAGTTGATATCTTGTTAAAAATTTAATGAAGGAGTAGTAAATGAAAATTCACCTGAATATCATAAATTCCTCGAAAGATTGTTAGTTAAGCCACACGCTATACCACATATATTTTAACTATTTAAGTAGAAAGAAAGTCAAAATAAGAATTGCCATTTTAAAAATAATGGTCAGTGATATGAAGAAATTCAATAATTAACTGTGGGGTTAAGCAAATATTGTCGGACAAAGATGGTAAACAAAAGCCAACACGGGTAAACATTGTGCAGTAAAAAAACCAATTATTTGAAACGTTGATTTGTCGATTTTCAAATGTCAAAAACACACATGTGCTTATTGCGTCAAAAATCTGAACTAAGCCAAAATAAAAAAGATCAACAAATATAGAAGTATGAGGCGTTTAACGTAGGGGAATCGGATACAGTTTTACAATCGTTTACACAGCGGAGTCGTGCGATAACCGAGTTTAGCAAGTCGATTACTCTTGACCCGGTATTGTTTGTTAACGGTGTAATACTAAATTCGAAAACCAGATGGTAAATGGTTATTCAAAGATCCCAAACTTGGAAGGAAAAAATGCACAAAGTAATAATGAGAAATCATATCGATATCTTAGCAGTAAAAGAAATGAATATTTTAAAATACGCTAATAAAGTTTTTGGATATTTTTAGCACATGTTCTTTGTGGGATATCCTTAACCTTGTTAGTTTACAAAGAAGGTCGTATTGGATGGAATGTTGATGTATGATTACGAACATCTGTATCGCATATCATCGCGTGGTCTGCTGGATACCCGATATAAATTTCATATTGATTATATTGATTGAATGCTAATAGTCACCAGACGCGTTTTCAAGACAAAATCAAAGATGGAAAGATTTGAAATTTTCATTTTTTTAGAGTGCAACGCGTAGAGAAATTGAACCAGAATTAAGAATTGTATCAAATATCAAAATGGAAGTGTAAAAGTGAAGTAAGTGACAAAGTGTGATTCAACCTTGTAAAATGATCCGTGCTGTTAACTCATGGTAATGTACTTATGAATATATCTTTATTGATGGCAAAAAAATAAATTTAAAAATCAAGAATTGCGATTTAATTATTACGCCATATTTACGGTACAAGGCGGAGACCCTGCACTATCTCCACATCTTCTTATCAACCATCAAGAATAATGGAAGCTGCAGTCATTCATCCAGGTTCATCGCAACATGTCTCATGCTTTAAAACGATAAATATATGATTTTATTGGCTCACCCTATATTTTTTTTTTAATCAAAGACGTATATACAATATAACTATATTAGGTAAGAATGTGTTGCTTCTTTAAGTAAAATTCATCTGACGAACATGCGAATTTGGATAAAAAAGTATCATTTTCACGAGATAACAACACAAAATAAACAAGTAATCCATTTATTATTGTATCGCGAATCTAATTTCGATAATAAAATATGTTATCTAAAAAAAACTTGTTGGTTACAAGAAACATAAGCTTATGATGACTTCAATGTTTAATAACCCGATTCCCATTATTTCTCTTCCCCGCTCGCCATGCTAATGTATTTTGAATTGCACGTTGTTACATATCTCTGCCACGCCGTTAAAAATTGAATTGAGCGGTTGTCATGGGATTGGTGTTTGAAATCTTAACTTTTAAGTTCATACCTGATCATCAACCGGTCATCCATCTGATTATTTTCAGGTGATACGCACAGTTATACCACAAAGTAACAAATACTCCTCAATTCAATATACGTAATCTCTTTATCTGCCTTTGTGGCTGCAATTTGCTTGCTTGTGTTATTTCGAAAGTCACTAACTTTTTTTTCCTTTTCCTTCCTCTTTTCTGTCCTTTTTTGCCTCATCATTCTATATATTTGTTAGTCCTAAACTTTAAAGTTTAGTTAGTGCCATGTTGCATGTGTATCTTTAACTCATCTTTTGATGAGGTCATCTATTTCCAACGTTAAGACAATTGAGATTTTATTGTACGCAAAAAAAAAAATTTTTTTATACATGAAAAACATGTGGTTAACATTCATCAGTCCCTGAATTTCTTGTTATATTAAAGGCAAAAAAAAAAAAAAAAAAAAGAGAAAAAAAAAAAAATAGGAAAAAAAAGTCTAAAAGTGTTAATATTAAAATCTTCGGAAACACGATGGTAAACCATTTCCTAATTAAATAGAAATTCACGCCTCTTTTACCGAATCAAGAATTCCCTAACACAACGCTGCAAAGCAGGTATTTGATAATTCAAATCCCGGGTCTGAATTCTTTTTTAACCCTTCTTCACCTTTTGACAATTTATCTTCTGGCCTGAAAGGACAAATTTTACGATAAAATATATAAAAATAAACATAATATTATTTGCATTAAAATTAAATCAACTTTCCTTCTGAAGAAGGGTTCCCTGCAAGCTGTTGGTACTTTTGAAAAAAAAAAAACCACAAAAAAAAAAAAACTTTTTTCGCTGAGCGAGAATAATTTTTTTCCTTTATCCCTTATAATAATATAACGAATCTTATAAACTTACATACTAAACGTAAACTTCAACCTAATAATGTCGTCTGAGCACGTCATCACGCCGGAAAGAGAGGCAACAATGCCAGCAGAAAGCATTGTGGATGGAAAAGATTTGTCCAACACGGCTCAAGAAGACTTTCTTTCCACTACTGTTGACAAGATTAAACAGGAACAGGACGATATCTTGGAAACTCCTCCTTCTCCTGGTTCGTTACAAAATCCTCCACCACCTTATTCACAATGGGATGAACTCAGCCTAGAACAATTATTAGAAAAAGGTAAAGAGCTCATCGGACATACTGAGTCTTTGGCTAATGGTGGAGGTGAACAAAAAGAACAAAAAGACGGTAAAGTGCTTGACAAGGTAAGAAGCCCCTCCCGAGTACGTGCCAACAATTTTCATACTTTGATGGCATTCTATTTTATTCTTACTTGCTAAATGTTTCGGTGATCTCGAATCTTTTTCGTCTCGAAATTTTTAAGCAAACAAATGACGTAATGCGTCCGAAATTTATTTTATAAGTAGTAAAAAAATTTTTTATCATTATTAACTCATAAAATTTAAATTATTTATTTTAGATGACCCAATTAGAATCTCTAGTATCGTCATTGCAAACTATCCTGAACGATCAAACATTTGCTATGCATGACTTGAGATCACAATTATCAGAGTTAGTACTTTATATTTTCTTTGTATTAAATATTATACCTGGCATAATAATAATAATGTGATATTAATAATAATTATTATTATTAATTGTATTAGCATTCAAATTGTTCTTCAAAAAATGCAAGACAAGCAAGAAACGATAACTAATGAAGAAATAATGAAACAAGTGGCTACTATGAAGGTATTATTATAATTATTAAGTTTTTAGATTAGATACTGTAAAATAAAATATATATTAATTTATAATTATATAATTATAATAATTGATCTCACACTAATCTATTTATTCTTAAGGCCCTTACTGAGAATATTATCACATCAAATGAAGTTAAGCGACAACTTGATGCTGGTGTCGCTGCTGCTGCGGCAGTAGCTGCGAGCGCTGCAGAAACAACATATGGTGCTGAAGAAGCTATATCTGTTTCTCAACTTCCAATCGAGAGAACCAATTTAGTTCCTATCACATCATCAGAAATTTTGAATGTGTCACCTACCACTGTTCAACCCACTCCATCATCTCGTCAAACTTCTCGAGTACCGTCTCGAGCCCCATCTCGAGCTCCATCTCGCGTTCCATCCAGAACTACTTCCCGAGCTCCATCAAGAGCACCATCATCTTCTAGACCAGTATCACGTGCGGTATCACCGGCTCATACTCCCTCGTTGTCTAGATCATCATCTAGATATAAACTTGATCTTCCGACATCAGAACATAAGAATGATATTCCAAAAATAGAAGAGGGAAGTGATGAAGATGAAGAACTAGATGAAGCTAATGATCCCTCATTTAATAAGATGCGTGATTTATTAAATTTCATGATAAATGAAGCACAAGAAGCCGTGGAAAAACCTGTTAAAGGTCGTGAGAAGAAGAAACGTGCCCCTTCAACTACAAGTCAACAATCATTTGATTTGGGGGATATTAATAATCTGATTGATGAAATTGAAGAAGAAGATGAATACGAGTATGACGAATCAGATGATGATGAAGATGATAAGGAAAGCGAAACTAGAAATGAAGATGAGGAAGATGATGAAAATCGAGGCAGAGGCCTTAGAAGAGAAAAAGCTCATAAACGACAAAAGAGTGTACATGAAGAAAGATTTGAACAAGGAATGTTGGAATTTAATAAGAGCATCGCAGATTTTACCTCTTTCGTTGATGAAATAACTACAGATAATGTGCAAGAAGAATATGATCCCTATATACAAGATCCTTACATACAATATACAGATTCAACGAGAACGCTCATAGAAAATCCAAGTGAAAATCTTGCAGACCTTGATGATTTCTCGCAACAGTGCCGTCTTCTTACACGTGCACTTATCCTTCCATTCTTGCATGCGACTCACTCTTTCATGTCAGAATCACTTAAGACTACTAATACGAATTCACCAAGAAGCATGACAAGTACTACTAGGACCTTTATGAATCTCATGTACTGGACATTCTTGTTCACTCTTGGTTCATTGGTATTAGATGCATGGTTATGTGAAGTTGCAGGAAGACAAGTTATTAGAATGGTTGATTTATTAAAACCAGAACCATTTGGTTTTCTTAATAATAATTATAATAATTATAATAATTACGAACAAGTTGTCAGTGATCAGCAAGATGGAGGGTTCGGAGTTTTGGGTGACGGTAAAAAAAAAAACGTCAAATTTCGAACGGGCCCTAAAATGAAGGCCGTTACGTGGAAAGGGGTAGAGACGGGTGTTGTAGGTAGTGGAAAGAGGTGGTTGAGGGATGGAATGATGAATTTGAGACGAAAAAGTAGACGTTTGTTAACGAGTGGTAGATGGAATAGTTGGGAAATATTTAGTAGGACGACGGTGGGACGGTTTGAAGAAGAGTGTAGTGGTGATGATAGTGAAGAATGGGAGATTGTAGACTTTGATAGTAGCGATGGCGAGGATAGCGGAACTGAGGAGGATGAAATTGAAGAAGATCCAGCAATTGTTCTCAGACGTAGGATAACTAATGAACGATCTCGGCGTGCCGGACACGTGACTAGCATGATAATTGATAAAGACTACGCAAAAAAAGAAATAATAAATGATTTGATCGAAGCAGACGTGTCCACAGACCAATCAAATGACTCACAAGAAAAAGTAGATCATTTATTAGAAAAAATGACAGATATTACATTTTCAGAAAGTTCAGAAGATGTTGATTTAAATATACCCGGTTCATTTCCTTCACAATTCAGATGGACGCCACCACCATCACCAATTGTCGATGTAATAGAAGTAGCAGAAAATGTAAGACGAGTAACAAGTGTTGTACTACGTCGACCAAAACGTAATGGACCTTTTGGTGGTAGTGGTTCGTTTTGGATAATGAAAACACATAAAATAAAAACACGGAGCATTGATGTTACTTCTGCTGTTCTTAAAAGTTCAAGTTCTAAATCTAGTCCAATATCAAAGAAAAAGAGCTCAAAATCACTACCCAAAAGGACATGGATAAGACGGAATAGCATATAGACATTTAGATCTTATAATGATTACATAAACAATTGGAACATTCGGTATGGCGTCATTAGTCGCCTCGGAGGGTATTATTCTTGTATATTAAATTTTTTTTCTTTTAAAAAAGGACACTTAGACTTTCTTTTTTTGTATTTAGTTTTTTTTGTTTCTAAAATGAACTTTTCTACAATACTGGATTTCTGAATTTTTATTCTTGTGAACAATTTTGTCCTCCTCCGTTTCGCTTTCTCTCCTTCGTTGTTATCAAAGTCTCGGTCTCACATTCATCGTCTTTTTTACATATACATTTTTTTTTTCACTTTTCATCTATTTATTATTTGCAATCTTCGAATGATATAACTATCTTTTCTTTTTCTTTCTTTAAACATACTTTAAATATGAGGCACTACAAACATTTTTTTTTTTGACTTTGTCAGATAAAAAAATCTTCTAAAAATTTGTAAATCGTTCGATTTTATGCAAGGAATAAAAATTCTACGGTTTTGTAGTCTGCTGTAATTGTGATGTTAAAATTTTTGTTAATAACTTTACGCGACTTTGATTTAGCTACGCGTTTGTCCATTTTCATTGCTTTGACATGCACGCCAACGATATTTTAATAATGATAATAACACCATTAATGTATATTACGTACGTACGTAAGTACGTATGAACGTGCGTGCGTCGTATCGAAAGATCTCAATGTGTTTTCCCGCCACGCCAAAATTCTAAAACTAGAAATCACAATTTTAGAAAAATCGGCGTTTTTTGAATATCGAGCAAAAAGTAGGTCGGTAAGCGCCGTTTGCATACTAAAGAAAACATTAAACTTATTTTAGAATTTCTTTAAGGTTACATTTTTATGCGGTATTCCACTTTTTGACTTTCAAATGATATTGAAAAAAAAAATCACCAAAGATGAAATGATTGAAATGATTGAAATGATCTTTTAAACTATCGCGAGTTGCACTACTGATATCTATTCTTGGTTCTTTATCATTCAGAATTGGAATAACGTTTTTATTACTCGTTAATCAGCGTACATATACATACATCAATATATTATTGGCAAAATCGGTTTTGTATCTCTTGATAAAGACTATTTAGGTATCGTTTGGCTTGGGTATTAAAATGGTTTGATTTAATATTTATTATTCAAAAAGGTTTATTACACATGTCAGCAAACTTATCATACGTAAAAGTAAATACTTTCTTTAAATGATGTATTTTTTATGATCACAATATCATGAATTTTTTTTAAATGTAACTTACATAATATGAATTATCGATAAACAAGTTAATTACTAAGTATATTATTTAATCATTACTATATTCTTTATTAATTATTATGGTTATATTCAACTACGTATTAAAAGTGTCGGAAATAATTGACTAAGAGAACGAGGCAGCCTTTTATCTCAAATTATACAGTTTGTACGTAACATTTATGTGACTTGTTGACGATTTAACATTTTTTATTTTTTGTTAAATATAATGATCATTTTCCGTTTTGCTCCGGACAATGAGTAACACTTTGTATTTATAAATCCAAATCTTTTTGTTTATTGAAATAACCTAACTTGATTTTATTGTGAGTAATAACATACTTATGTATGTACGTACGTACATTTTACCTATTGTTAACTTTTGAAAAAAAAAACAAATTGACGTAAATAGTTACTAGGTAATCTATTAAAATAACTATTGTATATACAAATTGTGGTTGATTGTAATAATGGTTGCATAAATCGAATAAATATAGTTAGTATATTTAGTATTTAAGTTACAAATATACTGTGTATTTATTATAAATTTTTTTTTAAATTATATATATACTATATATATATATATGTATATTATATATATTATATATTTTATATATATTGTATATGTAGTTATATATACAGTACGTATACGTATACATATTATTTAATTTTATACTATATATAGTATGTTGTATTTTTTATAAATAAAATAATTTTATATATATATTGTATATATTATATATATTATAATACAGTATATACAGTATATATACTATATATATATTTTGCAAACAAATTTTTAGTATTTTTTAAATACTGTAATATCGAAAATTTTTATAGTGCAGTTCTGCGCAGATTTGCAAAAAATTAAATAATTTGCACAAAACTTCAAATTTTAAAAAATTCTGTAAAAATTTGCAAAAATACAGATTTGCAAATTTATACTTATTTAATTTTTCTGATAAAACTTTAAATATTAAAATTTTTATAAATTTTGTATTTATTTTAAATAAGTTATTTATTTCCATTAAAAAAAATTTTAGTGCTGTTTTATACAAATTTGCAAAAAAGTTAAATAACAAATTAAATAAAAATCTGTACAAAACTACACTTACTACAGTAGCTATAGCTATAGAAATTAAATACAATTCTGTACAAAATTTTAAAATATAAAAAAATTTGCAAAAATGCAGATTTTTACAAATTTGCATTTATTTAATTTTTTAATATTTTTTAAGATATAATATACTATTAACTAGTTATATTATTATTGTATAGCTAGATTTAGAATTAAAGTTGGGTTAAAGTAAAATAAAAAATATATATTTTTATTTTAATTTTTTTTTTTTAATTGTCAACAAATCTGGCTGTGACTTAATCTCTTTATTGCATTTTTTAAAAAAAATACATTATTCTAAAAGATTTAATAATAAAAAGCCTGACTTTACTCAGTTACCTATACAGTTTAAAAACCTAATGCAGTTCTAAGAGCAACCTGTTCTATCAGATTACAGATGACTAGAATTATTTTAACAAATATTTTATAAACTATAAAAATAAACTATAACTAAAAAAAAAAAAATAAAAAAAGAAAGAAAGAAGAATAAACAAAGTATAAAACTAAAAAAAAACTTTACAAAAAAAATAAAAAAAAAACATTTTATAAAAAAAAGATATAATATTAAAAAGAATTTCACCTCTCTACATAACAAAAATATACTATTATAACTAGTACAAGGCTTAAAAAATTATATAACAAATGCAATAGTTGTATATTTTTACTGTAAAGTTTTGCCTTAATATATATTTTCTTTTTCAATATAATGACTGCCTTCAAATATCTCTTTAACTAGAAGTCTTAATCTAACTTTTCTGGAGTAGCACTATATCTGTAAATAAATATATTACATAGTTGCATTTTACTAAGTTCATCTGAATTTGAAAAATAAACAATATCAATTTTTTGGAAAGAGTAAACCAAATCTTTACTTTTTTAAAAAATTTTGGAAGACCAACAGAAAAACAAGAGTAAATAAGAAAAGAACCACTTGATCAGATAAAAAAAGTATAGCTTAAAAGAAATATATATTTTATTATATTTCTTGTATTCTTTTTTGAAGTAATAGCTCAAGAGCTTTATAAATGAAGCAAGGCTTTACTATCAAAACCCACCAAGTTTTTTTATACAAGAGTACTATTTCTTACCAGTTATCTTGTATAATAATGTTCTTGGTTTGCATGCTGAATATTATATTGTAATATAGTGGACTTTGGTAGCAGTAAACTATATTACTTGACTTAGTATCAAGAGGGTAAGAAATGTGAATAATATAAAATAAACACTAAAATAAACTAAAATAAAACTAAAAGAGCTAAAAAATAAAAAAAACAATAAAAAGACAATAATTCCACTATAAAAGAAGATAACAGAATATAAAACATGTATAAAGTAAGTATTTTACAAAATAATATCAGTTTATTAGATAAAAAGAAGAAAGTACAGGAAACCAAGTCTAAGTCTAAGTCTAAGACCAAATCTAAGACAAAATCTACCCAAGCCTTAGGTAAAAAGACTGGGTTTATACTGTATATCTTTTACAATCTTAATTAATTACTAATTATAGTTCGTATTATTGTACTATTGTGTCAAAGGGACTTGTCAAAGAGACTTGCTAAAGATACTAGTCAAAAAGACTTGTCAAAGATACTAGCCAAAGAGACTAGCCAAAAAGACTAACCAACGAGACTAGCCAAAGAGACTAGCCAAAGAGACTAGCCAATGAGACTTAATTACTTGTTAACTATTAGTTTAAATGAAAAGTTATAAAAACTATACTAATAAAACTAATACTAAGGATTCTATTGGTTAAATAATATTTGTACTACACTTAATAATTACACATAGATAAGTAATAGAAATTTTAAAATACTAATAGTATAATACTAATATAACAATATAAAGGAGTCTTGCAAAGCAAAAAATAATAATTTTTAAACAAACTACTATATTAGGCTATAACTTTTCAACTAGAGCTTGTATCTGTATAAGAGTTACCTGGGTAAACTGGTTAATATCTGTTAATCAGATAATTCAGATTAATTATCTATAAGATGACTATTTGGTCAATTTGATAAATTTTTAACTTTGGTACAATGTATATATTTTAAATTAATAACTAAACCAAATTAAAAATTTATCAAAATCTTATTAAATTAGCCAAATAATCTTTTGGCCAATTGTTTATCAAATAACCAAAAAATAATGAAAATAGTTATAAAATTATAGTATACTAATCATTCTTTAAAATTAATTTAAAAATCGCAAAAATTTTTAAGACAATAAGTTAAATGTAATTTGATATAATAAAAAGTTTAATAATACATTTCAAGAGACCAGATCATATAAAGTTGCAGAATTGTTAGATAATAAAAGAACAAGAATGTTGTTTTCAAGCATCATTCTGATGTGATTAGCAAGTGATTGCAATGGCATTTAAGCAAAATTATAATTATATAAACTTTTATTAAGAATTCGAATATGTAATTTATGCACGGAACTCTCCCCGATGATCACTTGGCACAAAAATTTACAGACAGGCAAGATACAAAACATGTTAAAAACAACAATATTTCTTGCCAACAACGAAAGAAAGCGTGAATAAAGCATAAGCAGCAGCCTGTTTTAGTTTAGATAGTCAATTAGAATAGCAAGGAAAACTTAAAAACTAAGCAATACAACTTTACTATCGGTAGACTAGGGTTGGGGCACAGGAAATTTTTTGGGCATGCCCCTATATATAAAATATATGATATATATGATATATAAAATAGAAATTCGGTACACTTTTTGTTACTTTTCGTTCACAGAAACCACATAATATATTTTTTTTATTAAATTTAATGAAATACAATATACAATTAACAAATAAAAGTTATTTATTTTCTAAAAGAATATCATCAACAGACCAATCCTCCTTTTCTAGTAGTGGATCACTTCATCCAACGTTAACTTGGACCAAATTTTCCAATGCCTCTTGGTCTCTTTCATACATAGCGAAGTTAAAAAATTCCTCTAAAAAAGACCCTTCATCTTCTTCAATTATAATTTTTTTAAGCTCTTCATTCAAGTCTTCTAACTATTCATTTTCTTCACCTTCATCAAAAAAGATATACAAGTTTTTGTCATCATCAGTCAAGAGTTCAGAAACGATTTTGTCTTGCTTTGTAACTTTGGTAGATACCTTTTTTTTAAGTTCATTTCTAATCTGCCCAAGTATAGAAAAATTATCTGGCGTTAACTTATTTCTCACTTTTGATTTAATTAATCCAAGCAACAAAAAAAGTCGTTCACAAGCAGCACTATGAGGAGCAATAGCAAGTACTTTCATTGCAAAATGGCGTAGTACAGGTGCATTTCCCTTGAATTCACTCCAAAAGGATCGTAAATTTTTTGGAGGAGGTTTGTTAAACGGAGGGTCATTGTTTTTGTAATCGATTAGTTCTTTAAGTAGAAGAGCAGTGTCTACTTTAGTAAATTTCCATGCTTTAGCTAATTCGAGTGCAGCTCAAATCATTTGTTCATTATCCATTTTTTTAAATATCGCCAATCGCTTGTTAATTGGAGAAAGAAAAAATGCAACAAAGTAGATATCACTATTAAACTCTTGTATGCGTTTATTAATAATGGAAAGAGCATGAGCTTGAAAACCAATAATTGGAATTTCAAGTTGAGATATCTGCTAGTGGACATAGATGAGTTCTTTAAAAATATCAGCCAAGGTAGAATCATTTGACTCCAACCTTCCGATAGAATCAACTACTGGCTTAATTACTTTCATTAACGTATTATTGGTAGCAAAATAATATTTATCACGGATAAGACTTTTGACTATAGCATTCTCAATCTCAGGATATTTAGGACGTAGTAAGTTAAGGATCCTGAGAGAGGTAAACAGTTGTTATGGCAGGTCGCATTGGGTTTTCAACCTGGTGAGTCTTTATTGAGTTAGAGCAATAAGTTGTAAAAATTTAGTATATTGTATATAAATTTTATAGCAGTTCATATAAATAAAGGCAGGATTGCTTAAAAATATATATATATATATATGTAATTTATAATGTAATTAAAATTTTCTCAAATATTATCTTTAATATGATTAGTTAGTGATTATAATAGTACTTATTTAATATAATTAATTAAATAAATATTGCAATCAATATTTGAGCAATTCTTTTATTATTCATCAAAAATAAAAAATAAAAAAAAATAAAAAAATAAAAAGTAAAAAATAAAAAACAAAACCAACTGTTAAACAAGAAGCAAATACTACTGTATGAATTATTAAAAATATTCTGACGAAGTATCAAATAGGCTTAAAAACATTACAAGTTATTAGTCACAAAATTGTATAATAATTATTTAAAAAACAAGATAATTGAAGCCACAAAAATTATCTAACTATTATTAAAAGAACAATAATAATAAAAAACCATTTGATTATTATTAGAAAAGCATAATAATTAATAACAAGTTGGTTAGAGTTGCAGAATTATATATTTATTAAGAGATGATTAAGTTAATTATGTTGTAGCAAAATATAAAATTTAGATATTTGAAAAAATGTATTTAAACTATTATTTTTGACTTGAATAAAGCCTTTAAATTTATACTTATAAATTTAAATTTTTATTGATTTAATTCGTCTTTAATCTATTATAATTATATTATAATCTGTGAAGTCTTATAGTTTTTTCTATACAAACTAAAGATTTTTTTTATTATTATATTTTAACATTTAAATAAAAGTAAAAATGAACTCTAAAGAAGAATCAAGTCTTCAAAAAAATCTATATACTGATGAAAGTGATAGTGACAATAATGACAGTGATATAATTTCTTCTACAAACATGTTGACTAGTACTAATAAAAAAAGAAGTAGAGATAAAAAGAGCTTTGTATAGAAATATTTTAGAATAGTTGATACAAAAGATAAACTAGCAAATATATGCCAAGTTATGGTTAAAAAATATAAAAAAGATGAAAAATATAGAGCAAATATATTTATAATAATTCAACATCAAATATAATCGCCTATTTAAGATTATCATATAATATTGTTGATAGCAAAAGGTTAAAACTTGAAATATAGTGGAAAAAAAAATCTTAATAGTTGAAATATTTAAAACTAACTTCAACACTTTACATAAAGGTATCAAGCAAAAAGAAATAATTAAAAAGGTTATTAAGTAGGTTCTTCTTAATAATCAACTTTTAGTAGCACTAAAAAAAAAGAATTCAAGTATATAATAGAAATAATTAATTTAAAATTTCATTCCTCTTCTAATAGATTAATGAAAAATAAAATTTTATTATATTATTCAAAAAATATAAATATTCTTTAATATGAAATTGCATCAACATGTGAAACTGCTATAATAATAGCAAATTTATAGACTTCACATAGTAACCAAGGCTATATTAAAATTACTTGTTACTAGATAACTCCAAATTGGTTATTATGTAGTGTATTATTGTATTGTGAAAAATTATCATATTCTCATATTTCTGAGTTTATTTACCAATTCTTCATAAATAAATACACAGAATTTAATCTTAAAAATAAGATTATATGTACTGTTACCAATAACAGTGCCAATATGATTAAAGCTATTCAATTATGGGATAACATTATTCAACTTCTGTGTACTACACACATTTTGCAATTAGCTATTAATTTTGCTCTGCAAAAAATCCACTTACAGACAATAAAAATAAGAAAATTGGTTAACTTTTTTGACTCACCAAAACAACAAGAAAGATTAAATAAAGTCAAATAATAGTAATAAAAAAAGACAACTTATCTTTGTCTAGTTCAACTAGTTATAAGATCAATTATACTGTTTATTTGAAAGAAGAAAAGGCTAGTGAAATTGATGATAATAATAATGCAGATGTTGAAAAAATATTAAATATTACTTCTAAGCCCCTTCACTAGGACCCCGAGCAATACATAGATAGGTCAGTTATTACCAAAAAAGAAAATTTTTAATAGAAAATCATCAAACATTATGTTTTTAAATAGTAAATTTTGCAAATTTTAGTTAAAATAAGTGTTTTTAAGCCAAATTTTGTATAAAAATAAGCAAACAGAACAGTGACCTATCTATGTATTGCTTGGGGTCTTCCTTCACTCAATTAAAAATTGCCCAATATGATAAAACTCTAAATATCGGTTTTGGGAAAGGTTATTAAGATTAAAAAAAGCAATTATATAGTTAGAGACTAATTTAAATATTTCAAGAAATCTAGATAATAAAAAAGATAAAAAAAAACTTAAATATTACTTGTCTAATAAAAATGAGTGGGAATTAATTAAAGAATTGGTTAAGATTTTTAAACTATTTAATTAAGCAACAGAAATATTTAATACTAAGAAGTATCTAATATTGTTTATAATATATCTAATTATTAAGATTATGAAATTTAAGTTTGTAATAGACCCAAATTAGCCTTTAGTTGATAACTTTGATGAAAAATGCAGTAAATTTTATTATTTTTGATTTAAGGTTGCTAGATTGTTTTAAATAGTTTATATAAAAATGTTAATTTAATATTATATTATATTTTAGAATTAATTGTAGATAGTAATAGTGAAAATGAAGAGAAAGATTATAACCCCAATATCTCTAATATTCAATTAACAATTGCTTAAGTAAAGCAAATAGTTTACAATTTGCTTTAGAAATACTGGTATAATCAAAACTATACTAGTCTTATAGCAACTTTATTAGATTCAAGACTCAAAAAAATATGTTTTTGGTCTGATTATATAAAAGAAAAAATAATTAGAATATGCTATAAAAAATTTAACAATATTGCCAATGAAATATTTATACAAACTATACCTTCTAATACTTTAACTAATTAATTTGCATCAATCTTCAATGACAATAATAATAATAACAATAGCTTATTTAATGAACTAGACAAATATTTGGATTTTTGTTGCTTTACTAGAAACTCAATCCTTAATATAGTAGAAAGAGCAAGAAAAAATTTTTCCAAATTTAAATAAATTAGCAAAAAAATACTTATTTATATCTGCCACTTCAGTGCCAAATAAGTGTTTATTTTTTGATGTGAGTAATCAAGTAACTGCTAAATAAGCTAGTCTTAGTTCAGAAACTGTTTTACAAATATTGTTTTTAAAAAGAAATTATAATATAATTAGTATCACATAAATTTTAGTTCTTTTTTAAAGAATTTACAAATCACAACTATTTCCAATGATCATCTGGACCACCACTTCCCAAAAATTTTTTACAAGAAAAAATACCGAACATCAGGGCACTTTAATGAAATGTTGAGGTTTAAATCGTGAGACATGGGAAAATGGCTTGCAGGACAGCTCTTGTCGTTTAGAGGTAGTTCTCATATGCTACCTGCCAACTTGTTTCAGAGTTTATCACTCACTGTTCCTTGCAACACAGCACTTATCGTTTAGAGGTAGTTCTTATACACTACTGTTAACAAGCTCAGAGTTTATCACTTATCGAAAAAAGTGAGTACTGTGCAGGTCATAGGTGGAGAGTTTAATCGAAGTAAAGAAAACATACACTTCTTTGGTGCTCTCCTATTGGTTTTTTTTTACCTTTCTCTCGCTATTTGTCATTCTTACTATAATTTTTGAAAAAAGTAGGCATTTTGGCTTACCCCCTCCAAAAGATCGGCATTGTTTACTCCTACCAAATTGGGATAGACTCAGTAGAAAGCAACTATATGTTCTGTTGATTTACAAATGCAGTGCTACAGTATGGGGATGGATACAGTACCCTCATTTAGGAGATACCCAAGTTGAGTCAGTGCGTGAAACAAGTCTTAAAAATAAGACGAATATTTTATAATGAGATATAATAATTAGTTGCAGTTATTATATAATTTTTATTACCAAGGTGCCTGTCATGGCTACCTTCCCATTTTTTGTTTTTTTCATCTCTGTTTAATTTATATTAGACTACTTTAGAATTTTGTTTCTTTTTTGTTTTTTTTTCTACCATGAGGTTTTTTTTTCTAAAATGTTTAGGTCTTTTGTAAACATGGCTTTAAATTTTTTCTTTTATGTATGAATAAGAGTTAACGATTTAGTTGGGCTTAGGTAAAAGAAGCTTGAAAGAAGGGGAGGTAGTCATGATGGGTGGTAGGTACTATCTGTTGAGAGCCGGTTAATATCTGAATTCAGGAGGAGCTGGATGGAGAAGAAACCTACTATAGCAAGTCGCACATAGGTGCCAATTGGGGTAACCAGGTGAGTCGCAACTCGTAATTTAGATAACTTAGAGTGTACCTTGGGTACAGCACTTGTCATTTAGAGATAGTTCTCATACACTATCTGCCGACTTGTTTAGAGTTTATCACTTACCGATAAATCTTCTTTGTAAAATTTTACCATTCTATAAGAATTGTACAAAGCCTAATAAAGTTGTAGCATAATTGCCGAATTTGAACAAAAAAAAAAAAAAAAAGAGAATTTACAAATATATGAATGTTTACTATATACTCTGTTGAAACCTTGCTTTATAAATATTTGTACTAGTTTAACTTTATTTTTATACAATATTATAACTAACTAACTAGCACTTTTTTTTTTTTTTGGTATTAAGGTGACCTCTTTGGTCTGGAGACTTTTTATTACATCAGCAAATTTAATAGGGCGTAATATTGCGCAATAATTTACGAAGCGTAAGAAAACCGTAATATTACGTAATA